ACACACACACACACACTCTCTCTCTCTCTCTCTCTCTCTCTCTCTCTCTCTCTGCAACCAATACATCCCCTATTCCTGCATTTTGCCAGCAGCCCCAGGAAACCCTTCTTATTCTTGCTGGTTTAATTCTTTGCTCAGTCATTGCCATGTGGCCCAGTGCCTTGGGTGATGGCTTTTATTGTTTCAGCTATCACCATGTAAAAGGGGACTAATTGTTCCTTCCACTTAGCCTGAATGAAGCGGGGGGGGGGGGGAAGGGGTTACCATATCTGTCACCTTAAACCATGTCTGGGACTGATGGGGCCATTAACACCTTCTAGCCTAATGCTTGTAATTTTATGAAATAATTAAATCAGGTTGGTTTGACAAAACCTGTTTTCCATGTGGCATTAATTATATTCCCATCCTTTAATTCTTTATCAGTTGAATCCCATATCAGCTTTTCTGTTATTTTGCCTGGGATTGATGTCGGGCTAACAGGCCTATAGTCACCCAGGTCACCCCACTTGCTCCCTCTGAATATTGGAACAACATTAGCACTCTTCAGTCTTCTGGAATTTCCCTGGCATTCCAAGGTTTATTAAAAACGAACCTATGCGGGCCAGAGATCTCCTTAGCCAGTTCTGTAAGGACTGTTATCAGGCCTACTGATTTAAAAAGGGTTCTCTCTCAAGGGCCTTAGCTACACTTGCAGATGTACAGCGCTGTGAGTTAAACCTGCCTTTGTACAGCTGAGTAGGGAAAGCGCTGCAGTCTGTCCACACTGACAGCTGCCCAGCGCACTTTCGTGGCCACATTTGCAGCATTTGCTGCGCCATTGGGAGCGGTGCATTATGGGCAGCTATCCCACAGAGCACCTTTCCCCATTCTGGCGCCATTGGTTGTGGGAAGGGGGCGTGGGTGCGGGGGATTCTGGGTCCTGTCCCAATGCCCCGTGATGCATCGCTTCGCATCCCAGAAATCCCTTTGTTTCTGTCCACCTTTGGCGCCATCTTTCAACGGTTTCTGTGCAGTGCGATCTGTCTGCGGGAAATGGAGCCCGAACTGCTGAGGCGTATGCTGACGAGTCTCGCCAGCACGTCACGTTTGGCTATCGAACTATTCCTTAAGATCCAAAGTGACAGTGAGAGTGAGGGTGAGGAATCCGACAATGCTATCGAGCCGCGTAACGCGTACGACACGAAATTGCTTGTGGCATTCATGGACATGCTCAGCACCATGGAATGCCGCTTTTGGGCTCGGGAAACAAGCACCGAGTGGTGGGATCACATCGTCATGGAAGTCTGGGATGACGAGCAGTGGCTGCAGAACTTTCGGATGAGAAAAGCCACTTTCATGGGACTGTGTGAGGAGCTCGCCCCCACCTTGCGGCGCAAGGACACGAGATTGAGAGCTGCCCTGCCAGTGGAGAAGCGGGTGGCTATTGCAATTTGGAAGCTGGGAACTCCAGACAGCTACCAGTCGGTCGCAAACCAGTTTGGAGTTGGAAAGTCGACCGTTGGAATCGTGTTGATGCAAGTTTGCAGGGCCATTAATTGCATCCTACTCAGAAGAACCGTGACTCTGGGTAACGTGCAGGACATAGTGGATGGCTTTGCACAAATGGGGTTCCCTAACTGTGGAGGGGCGATAGATGGAACGCACATTCCTATTCTGGCACCACTCCACATAGGATCCGAGTATGTTAATCGGAAGGGGTATTTCTCTATGGTTCTCCAGGCGCTTGTGGATCACCATGGACATTTCATTGACATTAACACAGGCTGGCCCGGAAAGGTGCATGAC